CGGACGCTTAACCGACTGCGCCACCCAGGCGCCCCGGCTTTTTTTTTTTTAAATATAAACTTATTGAAATATATGCAGAGGATTGCACACATCGTACATACACAGCTTAGTGACTTTTCACAAAGCAAACACGCCCACCATTATCCTCTTTGATGCTTAGTTTGTCCCAAACGCGGCCAGCGGGAACCTCCTCATGCTGATGCCTTTGTCCTTTTGACATGACCCTATCAGTCCTTGAGCATTTTGGTTCTTTTCTGCCCCAATGTGGTGTCTCAGACTCACCTTTTCCTTATCCCAGAACTGATACCAGCCCTTTCTTTAAGGAACCCTGGTCTGTTCTTCAGTTTTTAAAAATTAAGCTTATCTGACAGAAACATTTCATATCACTCATCTGGGCCGGTTGTTTTGAGTAAGTATTAAAGTAAATACATATTAAAATGAAAATGGTCGTGAACCACTGGAGCCTGTCCCGCGTTAGAAGCCATTGCTGTCCCTTCGGGCATTCAGGATAACGGACGTTTTGGTCCATCCACCTGGTGTGGAGGCGTTGCGTCCAGAGGCTGTCTCTCTTCTGTCTAAGAGAGACAATGAGAGAGAGAGAGTTTTTACACCTTACATCCAGGGCCGTCCTCCGCTTGCTGCTTACGAAGCTTCTTGTGTGTGTTTTAGAAACTCCAATAGCAAAAACGATCGAAGGAACCGGAAGTTTAAGGAAGCTGAGCGGCTCTTCAGTAAATCCTCAGTGACTTCAGCAGCTGTAAGTGAGGTGGGGGGACTCTTTCTGTGGCCCATTGTTAAGGGGGGGACTCTTTCTGTGGCCCATTATTGAGGGAAACCTCAGTTAAATTCCTGTGAGTTTTCCCTTTCCCTGCTGTCCGAGTGCTCTCCTGAGGGCTCTGATAATTTTTCTAGTAACGGGTGGCTTCTTGTCTTTTAGGCAGTGAGCGCGTTGGCGGGAGTTCAGGATCAGCTCATTGAAAAGAGTAAGTTTATTTATTTATTTTTTTACTGTTTTACTACTTTATTTTTAAGCTACAGGAGCCCTTGTATTTAACTCGTATCCAACTGTAGGTCTCAAGACTACATCTCTCATATTTTTGCCTCTCCTTTCTAGAAGATAAGCACCCTCTTGAGTCTTTTTTGTCCTTTTGTTTATTTGTTGGCTTGTTTGTTTTTTGAGGAAGAAACTATCATGTCCCTCCTGCCTCTTCTGTCATGCAGAGGGTGACTTCCCCTGCTCAAAGACACAAAGACAGGTCTTCCCCACTGCTAAGTGTTAGGGGAATTTTTTTTTTTTTTTTTAACTTAGAAAACCTTTTCTCATGGAAAATTTTGGATATATCTGATAAATCTCCATGTTCGCAATTTAATAATTCTTAGGAAAATCTGGTCGTGGGAACAGAATGTACCTGAGTGTTCTTAAATATAAAACAGAGAGTAGATAGTATTTACTTTGTGAAGAAATTGTATCATTCTCCAAACGTAAGCCATACAGTCTAATTCTCTGCTGATGTCAAGTGATAGGATATAGATCTATACATTCATCTTTCCGAGTCAGACTCGGTGCAGCTGTATTGAACACTCTTCCTGTGCACTGAGTCACTCCAAAGCATAACCTGCTTTTTGTACTGTGGCTGTGTGCTTCTTTCAGATGATGTATCTTGTAGGATCTGGTTCTTGTGTCTGCACTGGGCCAGCGATTTGGAGGAGAAGGGATTTTGGTAGTTTGGGAATTAGAACTACACTGTGACTTTGATTATTACCTCTGGGTACAGATTTCTAAATATGTAGAAAATGCTAGAAAATGTCTGCGAGTCATTTCCACTCAGATTTTCAGGCTCAAAACATTTTATCTAAGATGGAACTGTTCTATTACCTTCAAAACTTGTCTGCCCAGTTTTTTTCCATTATAGTACTTCCATTCCCCCTCATTCAAAACTCTGTAGGTATCTTTGACTCCTTTCTGCCAGCCTCAACAATTATAGCAAGTCCTTTTGATTTTTTTCTTGCTATGGCTCAAATACGTTAAATCCTATTTCTTTTCAGTTAATGCCACTTCTAGGACATAGAGCTAGTGTTATCTGCTCTCTGAAGTTACAAGACTGGTTAAGGAACAGCCTGGACCCCACCGCTGTGAGTGGAGATGGAATGATTACTGACCGCTCAGTTTTCACAAGACCCTACAACCCTCATCCTGGCTTAGTGCGTAGTTCAACATCTGGCCCTGTACTTCACTAGCCACACAAGTACACACCTAGGTACTCGTGAAGGAATGACTCTCAATGCCACTGCTTGCGGAAGCTTGGCTGAGACCAGCACTTACGTATTAAAGATTTTCGGAAACACGTGCAGGCCATCCATTCCCCTGAGATCTTCCCCCTGGACCTGGGTCACGCCCCTGGAATAGATCCTGTTGGTCTTCCTTGGTCTTCCCTCTAAAGCTGCATTTGATGAATTACATTTTGGTCCCGTTAAATGTGCCACTGCATTTATTGTAATAGGATGTTGCAGATGTTTTTTACCGTTACTAATTATTATGTCTTTTAGGACTAGTTGTTTTCCCCGAACAACTAGTTGGTTTTTACTGAAAATCTGATGATGGACTTGATTTGTGTAGGCGCTAAAATGTTTTATTTTTTTATTTTTTTTAACGTTTATTTATTTTTCAGAGACGGAGACAGAGTGTAAGCAGGGGGAGGGGCAGAGAGAGAGAGAGAGAGAGAGAGAGAGGGAGACACAGAATCGGAAGCAGGCTCCATGCTATGAGCTGTCAGCACAGAGCCCGATGCCGGGCTCGAACCCACAAACTGTGAGATCATAACTTGAGCCGAAGTCGGATGCTTAACCAACTGAGCCACCCAGGCACCCCAGGTGCTAAAATGTTTAAAGCCAAATGTGTGGTTGTCCTCTAGAAAGCAAATCCAAACCTAGACCATGCATTCTGGGAATGAATCTTTACTACTGCATCCAGCTTACGGATGTCTTCTGTCCTTCTGTGTTTTACTTGTCTCATTTTAAATTTATTGTATGGATTTTATAATACGAATATCGGTAAGTGGCTTTGGCTTCTTTTTGGAATAGGGAATTACATAAATACTGGAGTTCATCAATTCAAATGGTCAGAGCCCCTTTAAAGTAATTCTGTTGTGTTCCATCTCACCACCTGTCATTACCGTTTCTTCCTGCTATTTATTTTTTTTATTTTTATTTTTTTAAATCTTTTTCACATTTATTTATTTTTGAGAGACAGAGTGAGACAAAGTGAGAGTGGGGGAGGGGCAGAGAGAGAGGAGGACACAGAATCCGAAGCAGGCTCCAGGCTCCGAGCTGTCGGCACAGGGCCTGACAGAATGCGGGCCCACAGAATGCGAGATCTCAAGAATGCTTGATCGTGACCTGAGCCGCAGTCGGATGCTCAACCGACTGGGCCACCCAGGCGCCCCCCTGCTATTTCTTTAAAAAAAAATTTTTTTTCATGTTTATTTTTTTTAAGAGAGAGAGAGAGACCGAGAGACAGAGCTCAAGTGGGGGAGGGGCGGGGAGAGAGGGAGACACAGAATCCAAAGCAGGCTCCAGGCTCCGAGCTGTCAGCACAGAGCCTGACGTGGGGCTCGAACTCACGAACCACGAGATCATGACCTGAGCCAAAGTTGGACACCTAACCGACTGAGCCACTGAGCACCCCTACTCCTGCTATTTCTTAAGAGTCTATTTCCATCTTGATTTTCTACAGTCAACTACAATGTGTCTAAGTATGAATTTCTTTTTAATTATCTGGCTTGGGTTTCGTTGAACTTCTTGTAGCTGTAGCTTGGTATTTTTCATCAGTTCTGGAAAATTCCCAGTATTCTTCAGATGATGCATTTGCTGCATGCTGTCTCCCCTCTCCTCTCCCACTCTACTTAACTGTATGTTAAACTTTCTCATTTTATCCTACATGGTCTTTTATTAGCTCCTCCGTGTCTTCTGTCTTTGTCTCTGGGCCGCCTGCCAGTTTACTAATTCTCCTTTCACTTGAGTCTGACTTGCTGTTAAACCTTTCCTTGATTTTTTTTTTTTTTTTAATGTTTATTTATTTTTGAGACAATGCGACAGAGTGCAAGCAGCAAGGGGCAGACAGAGGGAGACACAGAATCTGAAGCGGGCTCCAGGCTCCGAGCTGTCAGCCCAGAGCCCGACACGGGGCTTGAACCCATGATCCGTGAGATCATGACCTGAGCCGAAGTCGGATGCTTAACTGACTGAGCCACTCAGGCGCCCCAACCTTTCCTTGATTTTTAAATTTTTTATTACATTTTTAATTTCCAAAATTCCACTTAATTATTTCTAAAATCTGCTATGTAAGTTTTCAGTAGTTTTCCCTGCAATTATTTTTAAACTTGTCTTTTGTTTCTTTAAGCAGAGTAAGTAAGCCTGCTTGTTGTACAAGATTCTGTTTTTAATTCTGTACATTCTGTGTTTAATGTGTAATTCTGTGGGGGCGCCTGGGTGGCTCAGTCCGTTGAACGTTTGTTTGACTCTTGATTTTGGCTCAGGTCATGATCCCAGGGTCGTGGGATCGAACCCCACATTGGGCTTTGCACTGAGTGTAGAGCATGCATAAGATTCTCTGTCTCTCCCCCTTCCGCCCCTGCCCCACTTGTGCACGTGCATATTCTCTCTCAAAAATAAAACAATAATAACAATTTCAATCTGTGAAGTCTTTTTTAAATTTTTATTTTAATGTTTATTTATTTTTGAGAGAGAGAGAGAGAGAGAGAGAGAGAGAGACAGTGCAAGTAGGGGAGGGGCAGAGAGAGAGGGAGACACAGAATCTGAAGCAGGCTCCCGGCTCTCGGCTGTCAGCACAGAGCCCAATGCAGGGCTCGAACTCACGGTCCGTGAGATCATGACCTGAGCCAAAGTTGGACTTTTAACCAGCTGAGTCACGCAGCCTCCCCAACCTGTGAAGTCTTTAAAGACCTGTTTCTGTTGTAGTTTGCTTCCAAAGTCTAATTTCCCTGTGTGCTTATCTTTGACGGTGTACCGCTCACTGTAACTTAAACTATTTGTTGAGTAATTTGAGAGTGAGGGGGCGCCTGGGTGGCGCAGTCGGTTAAGCGTCCGACTTCAGCCAGGTCACGATCTCGCGGTCCGGGAGTTCGAGCCCCGAGTCAGGCTCTGGGCTGATGGCTCAGAGCCTGGAGCCTGTTTCCGATTCTGTGTCTCCCTCTCTCTCTGCCCCTCCCCCGTTCATGCTCTGTCTCTCTCTGTCCCAAAAATAAATAAACGTTGAAAAAAAAAAAATTTGAGAGTGAGGATGAAGTTGTTATCTTCCAAAGATTTTGTGTTTTCTTCTGATGGGTGGCTGGATCACTTTAAACCAAGTTGAAGGTCCCTGAAAGAGCCAGGTGATTCAAACCAAGCTTTCATTCCACGAGGGGAATGGTCTCCTTTGCCTTTTGCACTTCTTCCTTTGCATAGAAGCTCTCCAGTGTCTCCAGATTTCTGTATAACAGATCTTGTGGAATGACTCCTGTGTTCTTGTTTTTTGATGGTGATGAACTGAACATTTTTTCTGTCTTAGATTTTGAATTGCACATTCTTAGATCTCAAGGATTTTGGAGTTTTGTACTTTTGGCATTTTGTTTCCACACCATTCTGAAAATTTTCTTTTAAAATGCATTACTTTTGGGCTTCCTGGGTGACTCGGTTGGTTAAGCATCTGACTCGTGATTTCTGCTTAGGTCACGATCTCACAGTTTGTGAGATCAGTCCCCACACTGGGCTCTGCGCTGGCATCAAGGAGCCTGCTTGGGAATTTCTCTTTCTGCCCCTCCCCCTCTTGTGTTCTCTCTCTCTCTCTCTCTCTCTCTCTCTCTCTCTCTCTCTCTCAAAATAAATAAATGTTTTAAAAAAAATGCATTCCTGTGGGGCGCCTGGGTGGCTCAGTTGTTTAAGCATCCGACTTTGGTTCAGGTCATGATCTTGTGGTTTGTGAGTT